CGATACGCACTAGAAAGTTGTTGTCTTATGTTTTGTTTTCCTAATAGTTTTAGATTTAATTAAGAATTTATGTGTGTCATTGATTTTTTGTGTGTTTTGATTTTAGAAGTTAAATTAATTAAATCGTTTATTCCATTCTTTACCCAAGCGACATCATTAGATTTTTGACCAAAAAGTAAACAGGGAAAACAATACAAACGATTAGTTTCTGAACGACTATAAATCCAGTCATAGGTTTTATATATATTATTAGTAAATTTTCTTACATATTCTCTCGTTTTACCTTTATTTTTTATTTCCATATTTTTCTCCAACGAGATTGTTGAAAAATTGCATTGCAGTATTTTCTGTACTGAATTCATTTTAAAAATTGAAAACAAATACACGAATAATAATTATCATAATGTCGGTCGTCGATAGAAAACAGAAACACGATTGTTGTTTTGAATTTCCGATAATGATTGACTATGTCGGTCGTCGATAGGATAATCGGAATATAATAAATGAATGAGAGCAAAAATAAACTATAATGCCGATACCGACGCGCAACGACACGGTGACGTCGAAAATAATTCGCTGATAACAATTTAATTGGTTTTGTGTACAGAAACAAATGTGCACACCAATTCCATTATAACGCGTGTTGCGTGTTTCGACTTGTTTTAAATGTTACACTGTACAAATGTGCACAACGATTGTGTGTATAACTCCACCACTATAATACACACCGATACTGTTCCGTTGCAGACAACAGTCCGGCTGTTGGGCAATCAAAATAACGCAAACCAAATATTATATTATTTTCATAATATTCTAAATTTATATTTTTATATTTTGAAAAATAATCATAATAATACTACAGGTACTTAGTAGTTAGTTGTATTATTATGATTTGTTTTCAATTTTTCTTGAGTTTGGGTACGTAGTGCACGTGCACTTGTGCACATATACACGAGCCGCCACTGTCTGTCATGCTCAATGATTGTCCTTGAGACTTATTAATAGTCATAGCAAAGCAAACTTTAAGTGGGAATTGTATTCTTTTAAACTCAAAGGGATAATCAGTTGGAATTAACGTTATTCTCCGGATTAAAACTATATCTCCTCTAGCACACCTAGTGATAACTATAGCTTCTATTATATTTTTGTGCAGAGCTTTAACTTGCAATCTAGTTCCATTACACAATTTAGGTGGGTTAAGATTTCTTAGTAACATTATAGGTGCTCCAATTTTAAGGATAAGTTTATGTGATGGAAGACCAGAAGGATTCAGAGTATTAAGAAATTCTAAAGGGTAATGGACAGCATCATCCGATTGGATCGCCGAATCAAAAGATTTATATTCAACAGCTTTTTCATTAAATGCCTTTAGTAGAATTTCATTGATTTCGGCTGCCTTGTCGTTCTTTGGAGTTAAGATGGCTTGCTCGCACAACCATTTGATGGGTTTCATCTTGATATTTATTATATCTGGGTAAATTCTGGAAGTTAGTTCTGATAAAGAGCTAACAACTGTACACAAATTTGAGGGAATAGTGATCTCACCTTCCAATGAAGGTAAATATCCGTCTCCTTTTTTAAGTAACATCTCAGTGAAAATCCCAGCAGATGTGTCACCTTTCACATGAACCTTCATATTTTTATGAAGTGCAACTTTCTGGATATGTGGCCACAAATACGAAGCTTTTAGACATGACTTTACTTCATCAGCCCTTGTACTCCTAGGTATAACGGGTAATATTGGCCGAAAATCTCCTGCTAGTAGCACAGTGACTCCACCCATCAAACTATTATATCCTCTTATATCTTTTAATGTTCTATTGAGAGCTTCAAAGCCACCCTTGTGAGCCATTGTGCATTCATCCCAAACTATTAACTTACAGTCTTTTAGAACTTGTGCTATATTACTCTGTTTGGAAATATTGCACATAGGTGTCTCTACTCTCGTTAAGTTTAATAGTAATTTAAATACAGAATGAGCTGTTTTACCTCATTCTAGCAATATGGCAGCGATGCCTGAAGAAGCTACAGCCAAAGCTATTCCATGATTTTTTCGTACTCTGGCCAGTAAAATATTTATGACATGTTTTACCAGTGCCTCCAGGTGCGTCTAAGAAAAATGTTTGGCCAGTGTTCTTTTCAATGCCCTCTAATATTTTGTCATATACATAGGACTGTTCATTATTTAGTAAATGTTCATTAAAATTTATATACTGTGTCAAAATATTTGAATCATAATTGATCTCTCGAAGGTAATCTTTATTTTGTAAGACTGTTTCACATTTTGATGGCTGAGGTAAACCATAATGTTGCAAAAATTGACCTCCCAGAGATAGAATTGTATCTTCAAGAGTAACTAAGCATTTATTGTATACTTCATTAATAATTGAACTCACATTCTCCTTGTATTTTTCCCAAAGACTTAAAGCATCTGACAATTGATAAAATATCAACATAATTGCAAAAAGTTCCCGTAATTTAAATGGGGAACCACAAAGCACAGCTTCTTCCATAATTGTATCCCAGTGTCTTTCGTCTTCCAGTAAGCCTAGAGCCTTACACGCTGCCTGATAAGTAGGTTTAATTGTGCCGTTAACAGTTTTCAATTTCAAAAAAGATGTAGGACCTCGGATTTCATGGAGTAAAAGGCGAAGATAGTAACACTCGGTATTATTAGGGTGAATGGTATATACTCTACCCAGAGCTTGATCTCTTTTCATTCCCGGCCAACCATTTACGTTAATTCCACGTTTTCTTCTCTCAAATCTATTATTTTTCCATACATAGTAAGAGAGAACATCAACATAAAGAAGTGTTTTTGCAAAATCATCTGTTTTACATAAGTTGAAAAATGCTAAAAGAGTAGTTTTTGGTGGATTAATAATCATGTCTGTTAAACGACTGGAGTCATTAGGGTTGAAATAAACACGCTGGCCATTTTCTAAATGCACAGAAAGATGGAAGACTGTTGGAAATCTCTCGTGGATAGGAAAAGAAGCCAGAATTATCCATACAGCC